ACCACAAGAAGTATGGGAGTCTGACCGCTACATCTAACAGGAGCTTTCTTTATATAAGGACAATCAGGCTTTTTAATAATAAAGCTGCTGTATAAATACTAAAGTACTCAGCTTGCTTCTTGAGTAAATGGCATCTGTTCTTTATCCGGTTTCAGTGTTTTTCTTTGGGCTGACAGTTTTATTTGCCAGAGAATTTCTCTGCAAGAGGAGAAGTGGATGTCAGGCAGGGACGGGAGGGCAGATATGGGTGAAAAGGTTGCCCAGCTGAATATCGCTGGTTGTTATGTGACTAAATTTGGCCCCATATGGTAACAATGTTTTCTGGGCTTTGCACATGAGTGCCAGACAATGTTGGGATGTCTCCTCTTGAAGCAAACATGTTAATCTGTGACGCAGAGTAGGTTCAACGGCTCCAGAGACATGAAACCACAGATACAAGCAGGTAAGTTGGTGTCTCCTGTGAGACAAAATCACTTGGCTGACAGCATCTGTTAAACGTCTTTGACCCCAGGCCTGGAATCAAACCTTATTGCAGCCCCTCAATACAATTATCTTATTTAAATTTTTCACTTGTGTTCTCTAATAATTTTTGTTGCTTTTAGGCCACGTCAATGTATTTTTATTTTTTCTCAAGTTTATCACTTTTTGTCTTGCCAATTAAACATACAATATAAATGAACTTACCTTGACTTATAAATAAACTTAGTAGAATGGAAAATGATGGATAATTCTAAATAAAATGACAATATGAATGTAAAAATGTTCAGGCTAAAATGAAAAAAACGTGAAAGGAAAAGTCTGAGATGTCTAAAAGTAATCACGCTGCCACCTGTTCATTGGGGTTTGAATGGATGTGCTAATATGTGAACAATTGCGACACCATGTGGTACAGATTGGTAACACAACACTTGTGTCAATTTTGACCCAAATTCAGTTCCTAAAGTTATGAATTTAAAATTTCACCCAAAATTATATTTTTTATAACTTTTTTCTATGTTTGTTTTCTACTTGTGTTTGCAGATACTGACATTGGTTCGTAGTGTGACGTAGGGTCTGACGATGTTAATAGTCGACGGGGCATTTTTCGCATTCGGAGTGCTTGCTCAGGGTAATACCGTACCATACATTCAGAGGAGACCGATTCCAAGCTAGAAAAATTATGCTTTTCATGAAGATGTCGCCTCTGCTTTTATGGGCTCTGATGTCGCTGTTTGTCCCGGGAAAATCGTCGCCTGAGCGGACAAAGACTGTAGAGTTCAACGTTAAACCAGGAGGAGTTGTGCATACTTTCTCCGAGGGAATTGTGAGTCGCCTTTCTTTACTTCTAACCTCATTGGCATGGTACTTGAACATAATTTCAATGTGTAATAATTCTGCCATTATTTTTAACCCGGGTGATTCTTGATTATGTTGCTATAAATTAAGAGAGTTTATTTTTTATTTCGGTTTATACATTCCTTCCCCTAGTTAGCAATTTAAGACATTTTTACTGTAATAATATCATAAGCCAACATATTTATTTTAAAACGCATGTTATTAATGCACGCCATATTAATTAACAGTCTGTAATTAGTTGTTTTAAATGACTAAAGTGGAAAAACTACATTCCGCCGCTTAGGTGTAGTCGCTTAATGATGACGACACAGCCTGTGAGACGCTGACACGTCTATGCTGAGCTGCCACAAGGACCTCATTGATTGGACGAGGGGTTTTTGTTTGTCTTTCTTAGATTTTTATTGATAAGGTATTTCATTTCCTAAACTTTAACGATATTCTAAATGGAACGCAGTATAAAATATATACATTTTTAATTGTTATTTATTTACTAAGAAGAAAAACTGCTCATGTATGTTGAGTAAAAATAATTTCCTCATGCAAACCAGGAAATTATTTGCGTGCTTAGCTGATGTTCCGTACAGAAAAATGTCACCAAATATTTGATAAGGTGATTTCCATAACAAGTTTTTTTGTTGTTTTTGTTTTAAATATACCTCCTTATCTTAGGATCACATAAAGTTTAAAACCACATTTAATCTTTTGCTGTGTAATAATACCTGAGAAGGATTGTTCTACTAAATCTTTAGTATAAATTAGGGTTGTCACGATACTAAACTTTTCAACTCGATACCGATACTAAGGAAAATATACGATACTCGATACCATTTTCGATACCTCAAGAATAAAAACTCCAAAATTTCAAAAGAAATATTTTGAATAATAATTAAAATACAATAAATAAATACAATAAACAATAAGAACAATATTTTGAGGTTGTTTGCTGTGCACAATATTAAGCAAGTTTGATAAAAAGTTTTCCTTACTTGGCTATGCTTTGCACACATAACAATGACACTAGCCAAACCAGTTAAGAAACAAAAATAATTCTCAGCAGCTGCACCTGAAAAAAAAAAAGTCTGAAACTAAAAAGTGCTCAGAATTATTCAATCACACAGTGTTCTGAAAGTGCATTGTCCCCTATTCTGCACTTTAGATGAATGACTGCTTAGGTGCCACTGGTGGTAGCACTGTATCGATACTTTTGAAAATGAGTATTGTATCCGGATACAACGTTTCAGTATTGATACTTTTTTGAGTATCGATACTTTTGACAACCCTAATATAAATATAAACAGACGTGGGGATGCATCTCACTGAAGTCTATAAATTACAATATGAATTTAAGCATCCTTTTCTAGTAGCATATTTTTTTCTGCTAATTTTAACAGTTATCATTGCAGGTAATGAAAACTTCATTTTCACAGAAAGTTGAAAATATTACTGAGACCAATAAAAAAATAATGCAAACATAGAAAGGTTACATTCTTACCCTCATGATCACAGGGATGTCTGCTGACCTGGCAATTGTACAGCAATCAATTACACCAGGGAAGTCAAAGTGGTTCCAGGGAGGGCCGTGTCTCTGCAGGTTTTCTTTCCAACCAAGCAATAGCACACCAGACTCCATTCATCTCATCAAGTCATCATGTTCAGATTGGACTCACTTGATGAGATGAATGGAGTCTGGTGTGCTATTGCTTGGTTGGAGAGAAAACCTGCAGCCACACGGCCCTTTCTGGAAACAGTTTGACACGCCTGACTTGCATCCTCCACAAAGACAATAAGGAATGGGCTAAAATTGCAACAACAAAAAAGTTGTCCATTCATGGTGCTGGATCCAGAAAGTGATTTGAAAGGAAAAATGTAGAAATGCAAAAATAGGGATGGCCCGGTTTGATACTGATAGAGGAAAATAGTCCAAAATCAGCCACAAAATGAATATTAGAGTATATTGGCTTGCTTTTAAAATCTGTTATCAGCAAGCTGATAGAAACACTCCGCTTATGTTCGCTTCTGTTCAAAATTTTTGCAACATGTTGGTTAATAATAATTTGGCCAGTTGACTCATATCTATTGTTTATGTTCTAATTACAAACAGTTGATGAAGCCTTTCCAATGTTCCACCCAAAATGAGTAATACAAGTATGGATGATTTGTGCTGATCGTGTATCAGGTCAACATCTGTATCGGCCAATTCTAAAAGCTACTATATCGATATCATGTCGGAAATTTATTTTTTTATTGGGACATCTCTAAAAAAGGGGTTACTACAACCTTGGAGGGCATTTAAACATTTTACACAGAGATCTACTGCAAAAGGTTTATGGAGGCCAACATTTTGAATTCCTAAGGTGATGTTGAAAGGTTGCTAATTTTAAACACAGTGAAGTTGCTAATGAAAAAGCATAAAAAAAACTGTCTTTTGGCTAAAAATGATAAAATAAAAATCTATGAATCTTTATTACAAAAATAACAGGAGAAGAAAAGTACTTTATTATAAGTAAACTATCAATTTCAGGTTAACTTTTAAATTAAATGTCATAGCTGTATGAAAGAATAATGCATCAGTTAATCAATGTTGTTTGTTAGTAGTTTATTAGAAACTAATTAATGTGTTATTAAAGCTCCTTGAACACTTATTGGCTCCAAACCTCTCAATATTTTGTTTCAGAGTGAGTATGAGTGCACATTCACGTATGCTTCACAAGGAGGAACCAATGAGGTATGTGCTGTTGCTTGATCACTCGTCTCCCACAGTTTCATTGAATATTAATCCCAGCTGGCAAAGCAGTGAAATATTATTCTCCTTTAAAACAGCAATGGCTGATGAGCGTGGGCCTGAGCGAGGATGACAGACTGTTTTCTTGCTCTGTGTGGAGGTGAGACACAACTTGCACACACTTCGATTCGAATGCAAAACATGTCGTCACCTGAAATGGATGCATTCTCTCAGTCCCAATAAGGAGGACTCATGCCCACAATGTGACTATATGTGAACAGATGCATTTCCTCAATAGATGAGTAATACCTGCCCACTCACCATACTGTACCAAACTTTCTGCGGCGGTTCCTCGTCTTCAGTTTGCTGACCCTTGTCGTCCCATCTGCAGCTCCTCCACATTGATTTTAGTCAGTTGAGCCATAAAAGATTAAAAATAAAAACCTCTAGCAAGGCAATACAGACTTTAATCAAGCATGACTGCATGCTTTAAATTGATTTAAATTTTTCAGATTGGCAAAATCATTAGTATCAAACAAGTGTAACCTGAGCACATAGAGATTTTTGAAATGATTATAGTTTCCACAATGAAGAGGAAAACCACCCATATCAACCTGACCTTTTCTTTTTAGTTATAGTCCTCTAAACTTAACAGCCGGTTGAGCTGCCTTTGGCAGCAGCAACTGCTATGCAACAGTTAGTCTTCTTCATTACGTTGAAGGACTTTTCCCCCCACTCCTGTTTGCAGAATTGTTTTAATTGAATCACAAGAGGAAAAATCTATTGAATAGAACCTGTCTGACAACATGAAGTAGGATTAAAATAAATATATTATCACCAAAATGAATAGGAGAGAAACATAATGGTGCTGGGACTCCAGTGACATGCAGTAAGAGCCTTTATCCACATTGGACACCCTAACCCCAAGAGGAGATTCATATGAACAGGACTTCCAGTCTTCTATATGTTGTGTTGAAAAATCAAGATGGGTACTTGTGATTTTTTTTCTCCCATCATTGTTTACCAAAACGAGAATTTCATTTTATGCATTCATAGATAATGTGTGTTTAAAAAGAAAAAAAAAATCCCAGTTACAATATTTTACATGCTAGTTATTACCTTTTAGCCTGTTTACAGATGCAAAGCATAGTCTAGGTGTTAAGCTCTGCAATGGATTTTAAATTGGAATTGTGGGTTTTGACTGGATGTGTTTTATCCTGTAAGCTGATTGGTCAATGTCCTGTCAATAAGAAATTTGACAAGACGATAAGAAAATATATAGCTGTGCTAATGGTGTTGCTGTCTACATTTCACATTTTAAAGATTGAGGACTTCACTCTTGTTGAAAGGCTTGCTTCAAAATTGTATGATAATTCAGTATAGTTTTTTCCACTTAATGAAAAAGCAGGGGGTGCAGCACTGTCCTCCACCTATAAAATGCACCTCACTTCCGGAAACATGCAGCTCTGTTTTCTGATTGCTTTGTTGAATTTGGGATTGATGACATTTACCAACCAGCCGAGAGGAAAAAAAATCCTGTCAGGAACCCAGAAAGGTCTTTGTCTGAGTTGTCCAAAGAGGATCCTGATGATTCCCAATACTTTAGAGAAATGGTCTTTAGAGGATCTGAATTAATTAAAACAGACCAGGAACAGGACAGCTTCCCATACTATGAATTCTGATCTACAGGGTGTCCGCGGGTCATTAAAAATCATTAAATTATTATTTTTAAAAATAAGGCCTTAATTGGCATTAAAATTCATTAAATTTGCTAATCGTGGCATTAAAATGCTTCGGAAAAGAAGCTTGAGGCGGAGAAAAGGCTAGAGAATGGGGGGGGAAGTGCAAATTTGAACCAAAGTGGCGGGAAAACGAGGAACTTGGGACATGGCTGCAGCCTGTTCATGGTGAAGATGGTGAAGGATTTTGCCGTGTATATATAAGTCATGGGTATTTGTTGATGGCATTAAGATTATTTCTAAGAGAATTAAAAGAGCATTAAAAAGCATTAAATAAGAGAATTCATGTATAAACCCTGGATCTAATAAAAATAAAAAAAGGTTCTGGATTGACCTAGTAGTCAAAGTCTGAGTATAATTTTATTTCTGTATTCTGCTCCCAATTCATCACGTTTAAATGTAATTATAAAGGAGCTCCTGTTTTATAAATACAGGTTTATAATATGATTTTATTTTGTGTTTATTTCAATTCCTTACACACTTCCAGGAAACATATTTATGCTTTTTTCATTTGAGATGGAAATAATGAAATGTTCAATAATTAAATTCTCAAGTTAAAATATTAAGTAAAATAGTTTTTATTTTACAATCAGTTATTGTACGTTCCACTTTTGACTGAGATTGGTATTCATGGTAATAAAAAATAAAAAAGGGTACACAAGTCAAAAAAGGTTGGGAAACACAGCTGTAGATGACCTTAAAGAGACTGACGGTGGTCAAAACCCCCCTGATTGCGTGTAATTCAAACATTTTTTGAAATGTAAAAGACTCATTTTATGTTAGTCTAAATCATGTTAACAGTGGTTTTATAATTAAAAGGTCATTTGTGAAACTGGCTCCAGTTTTCCCTTAATTGATTTAATCTTTAAAAAACTGTTTTCTGTTGGTTTTTTTTTTTTTTTAGCATTCATGTCTGATATTAAAATTTGTGCATCTGAATTCTTCAACTACGGTATATGAAAAGCAAAACTAGAGGAATCTTTGGGGAGGAAACTCTATTTTCACAGCACTGCAAGCTGAAGCATTTCTGTTTCTAATTGCTTTCAGGCCTCAGGGAAAGTCATACCTGTTTTTCACCCAATTCAAAGCTGAGCTGAAAGGAACCAAAATTGAATACGCCAATGCTTTTGTAAGTATAAAACCAAGCTGTTCATTCTTTTTTATTTATTTTCTTTTTTTGTGGTTCTGTTTACATGAATATGTGCTGATCTCTGTCATCCAGAGAGTCGCCCCTCATGCCCACTGAATATGAGGGCTGATCGCTGATATTTTGTCATTTGTTGGATTTTATGTGCGATATCTTTTGGTGCGGTTATTTCCTCCAGTCATTCTTGTAAATTAGATTTCAAATCTCGATGAATGTGCCCTGGATTATTCAGGCTGTGAGAGAACATAAAATAATACTAACTAGAGCCAAATGATCATTTATTTTTCTACCTCTAGGACAAAATGTAAAAAAATCAGTAGTGACATTAAGCCAAATAAAATTGAAGAAAAAGAAATCTGCATGATTTTTGTAGAGCCTTTAACTCTGGGCCATTCCTTCAGAGATGAGAATCTCTCATTTGACGATCGGCTGCCACAAACCCACTCAAGCTCAGGCAAACTTAAAAAAAAAACAGCATTGAAGAATGTCTGCTTGGTGTTTCCATTCTGCCTCATACAGGCTGTCAGTGGAGAGATAAAAGCTTTTCATTACTCTGTATCTGTACCAATGTGAGGAAATCGAGGCAGATTCCCACTTCTTTTTTTTGCACAGCCTCCAAATAACGAAGCTTTTAACCAGAAGCTGCTCAGGAAAGAAACTCAAGGCTACTTTCATGTTCTGCAGCTTCTCGTTTATTTAAACATATTTCCTCTTCTAAGCCACACATTTAGTATCAGATGAGGAAAAAAAAGGAATGTCAACATCGACACTTTGATCTGATTTTTCTGTGACAAAATAAACATTTAATGGCAGAATTTGTCAACCGAGCCATGCCTCTCCTGGATCAGCATGAAAATGATTAAACATATAGCATTAGTTAAGGGATTTATTGTGAGTCTGAGTCATAAAGGCAGTCTAAACACTCATCAAGCTCATCGTCTGGAAATTTATAAAGCATGCTTTTATCATGTTCCAGCTCTGGATTAGTGTGAGAAAACTATTGTCATAAAATGTTTGATTTTATTCCTTTTTCTTGTATCTAAATGTGAAAATCTAGATGTCTATAAAATTAAGTGCTTTATTTTTAATTCAGACAGCATTTAAATGACATCATAACTTGATTTTGTGTTCCACTCCATTATTTATTTGAGTTTTGATTTACAAACTGCAAGAGAAACTGCAGATAAATGCCCCTTAACAAACCAAGAAAAGCATTTTAATGTCCCTCTAGAGCTTCTGAGATCAGAATTTAATTTTAGGAACTGATATGTTTACCAGAAGTCATCCAACTTAAAGATAGATCTGTCAAGTAGCTCTGAAGAAAAAATGAAAAGAAATTAATTTCAGTTCCTCATCTAAGTTTGGTAAATATCTTTGTTTATTAAAAAGCGATTTAGAAACTTAAAACGACATTTTTACATCATTAAAAAGGCGTAAGTAAATGTTTTCAGGATGTATAAGTGTCTCTGTTAAAGCTGGTTGAGCTCGACCCTTCTGCTTTTATTACAACGGCTTCAGCTCCTGTTTACACTTCAGTGCGAGCCACACAGAAAATTTTTCTTTTTTTAGTTTTTGGAGTCAAACTTGAAGTTGTCTTTGCACAGACTGCTTTATGTGGAAGGTTAATGTCTGGACTCTGAGGTCAGTCACTTTCGGCCGCAGCTGATGCGGTCGTGGTCCATGAGGCGAGGCGATGCGAGGCACACCTTGACACGCCTCCTTTCCCCCAGCAAGGACAGTCCTAACACTGGTGTCATTAGAAATGGAGAGGGAGAGAACATGCCTCCTCCTCCCGCTCTGGCTCTGTGCCCTACAAGAAAAAGAGAAAATGACTTCACTGAGTGAGGGGACTGAAACAACCTTCCCTACTGAAACACATCGCTTTGACCTTGCTACTAAATCTAAATATATTCCTACTTCTCCTCACACTGCAAATGACACTGTTCTCTATGCTACCTCTTATTTGTTTTTTTCCTAATTCTTTTGTTGTTGTTTTTCCCAACTTTTCCTCCTCGTCGTTCCGGATGAATCTCCAGTCACAAACAGCAGCAGCAGGACAGCATGATGTGCCTCTGAAGCCAGAGGAATTTACCATAGGAGAATCAACAGGTGAGAAATTGATTGTGTCTCCAAGTGTTCAATCAACTCCCCCTGCCTGTCACATCCGTCTCTTTCTCTGCCTCCACACCTCCCTACCCTCCCATTATCACGTTGCAAGCTTCCTGCAGATTCCCCCTGCGACGCATACGCTCCAGCTGTGAGTGGGTTTTACAGTTGTCCCTGTAGCATTATTTGTTGTTCTTCAGCTCCTGCACAAATCCCCACTGTGGCTTCAGTTCCAGGCTGTGATTAGCAGGGTTTGACAAGTCACCCCGACCAGCAATTTACTTCAGCTGTCATTTTCAGCAGATTAGACGCTAAAGTACGGAGGCTTACAGGCTCCAAACTCGGCGACGATGACAGACTTAAGGATAATCCCATCACTGAGAAACAGCGAGAGCAATGAATTCCAGGCAGAGATTGCTTATCGGCGTGTAGTACAGTATGTAAGGGGCTTTTTAATTACTCATGTCCTAAAGCTTTTTAAATGTTCCTGCTTCTCCTGCAACACTAGATGGGGATGTTCAGGTCTGAGTAACTCAGTGACACCCATAGGAAGAAATGGTAACTACAGGTAAAAACTTGGATATAAGATACTAAAACTACAACTACATTATGTTGGTCCAAACGCATACATCTTTTAATGATTTCTTTTTCTCTATAATATAGATCCACAGCTTTCCACAGTTAAAAATCTGACATTTTTCTTCAGTGCTACGAAATATGAAAGAAAATATAATTGTTCGCTTGTATATTTCACAATGAATGGAATGATATAGAAGAGTTTGTAATTGCTAGAAAGGAAAGATTTTCATCTGCTTCATATCTTGAACTCATAAGCAAGCAGCAAAAAAAAAAAAAAAAAACATGGGGGAGCAAAGATAAACACTAATTTATGATAATTATTCTAACCTTACTGAGGTTACTGAGCTTAAAAGAACAATCCAGCAGTGTTTTATTTCACGCTTCACTTTTGGTTGGAAAACATTTGCTCATACAGAAGATTTTAAAAGCAGTTTTTCATTGAGAATTCATCTGACTTTTTAGTATTATTGAGTTTTACAGTTATATTTGTGTTAAATATTGTTAAAATGTGTTATTTCAGTTTATAACCATCAGTTTTTAAATGTAGATTTTTGTATTCAGTGCAAGAGGTTATTTCTGACTAAATATACCTGCATTAAAGTAGGAAAATAAGATAGATATGTAAAGTTATAATGCATTAGCTTTTACTTTAGGGAAAAATTGCATGTAAGTGTCTAACAGAAGGCGTGGGAACTTCTTTAAACTAAATAAAGGCATGCTAAATGAAAGATTCCCTCAGAGGAAAGGCAATTCTATTTGTTTTATTTATATAGCTCCACTCTACAACACACGTCATCCCAGGGCACTTTACAGAGACAGTTCAATCAGAACATACAGACAGATTGGTCCATAGTTTTCTACCAAAGGAAAACCAGCGGATTGCATCGACTCATTGACTCCACAGCAATCCCTCACACCAAGCATCCCATACGGTTGGAAAATAGACCTGCTGTGCTTTTAAATCTACTGCCTAATTTCTGCCTGCTGAGCGTCACAACATACTTTAACATTAATATATATATATTTTATAAATGTGTGATTATAAAGTGTTAGAGGTGAGAACTGTCCATAGAAGAAAGGTCAATTTACAGTCTGCACCCTAAATATCCAGACTGATGGGCTTTTGGGGATGGAGAAGATCCTTCTCAGGGTTTCTTCCTTGAACGATAAACAAGCACTAAAACTTTTTTTTCTGCCATGAAAGTTTTGAGAAAAACTGTCTTGGCTTTACTTGGAAAAATGCCAGTGCAATCATATTATTGTTGTCTTCTATATATTTTATTTGTCCCATATGTGTTTGGAAGATGGAGAGTGCATCACTTGAGAATAAGCTGAAAAATATGAAACAAAGACAGAGATTTAATTTTTGTTTACTTGTTAAAAATGTTTTTAACCAAAAAAAAATAACATGCCTCATGCAAAGTCAGCACTAAATGTACAAAAGTAAAAGAGAAAAAATGTAAAACAGCAGGTTAAAATCAACAGTTGGAATCTGAAAGTAATCTTTTTCAGTTCTGGTCATTTTTCATCCCTAGAATTCTCTTAGGTTATAGAAAAATTTTCACCATCTAGTTCTCAGAACCGCATATTTGACGCCTCATTTTTAGCTCAAGTGTTCCCGCTATTACAAATATTGTTTTTCTTACTGATCAGTCTAATGCTTACTATTCTCTAGTGGATGTGGCTGCAACAGTAATCCATTATCCTTTTTCGCTTCCAGTGACCCACAATGATGGAAAGTTCAGCGCTCAACTTTCCAAGCTGACCATCATTGGACGAACCAGACACGATGAGCTGTGATTGGACAGAAGTCATGCTCAGTCACAGCACCTTCAGTAATGACTGAACCATGGATTTAGTCCTGAGGAACAACCTAAAACTGAAGCAGGATGAAACTGATGGTGGCCTGAGGAGACTTTATGCCAGCTGCAGTACATGTCAAGCACTTTTCTTTTTTTTTTCTTTTTGGGAATTTCAGATTGGCTCGACTAAAGATGAAGATGATTTAGCTGATTATGCAGACAAAGAAAAAATCAGTAGTTGTTTTGTTTTTTTAAGTTTCTGAACCTGCATATAAATTGATTCTGGCTTGATCTTCCGGGTGTCTTAATATATAAAGGTTGGCGTCAGAGTGGGATCTGTCCAGCATAGATTCATGTTAGATTAGCAGGAGATTTATGCATGATGTGTAGCCCTGGGAGGAGAGTGAGTTATCCCCGATATTATGAAGCAGCACACATCTAAACAAGTAGATATTGCTCCGACTCATTGTAATCCGCCCCGCTGTTGATGGAGAGCACTTCAGCGTCTCGTTATCTACATCTGCTGCAGATGACTCAAAGCACCACATCTGATTGCTCCAAACATAAGCTGGGTTTTTGTTTTCTGCTGTTTTTCCTGATAAGACAAAGCTGTTTGAAAAAAATATATATATTTTTAGGGTTTGCAAACTGTTGAGGTGTTTAAGACATCCATCGGCTTATATATGACGACTATGGAATTTATGTTATGCAATGAAATTGAAAAGTTTAACTGGATTGTGCTGCTTTTATTCAAGATAGAACACAAGTGTATGTATCAATGCTATTTACATCACCTATTGCACTGCTAAACCAGTCTGAAGTAACAGGTAGGGGAGGGGGCACAGCTGCATTCTTCTTTTTCCATTCTTCCTTTTACCTCTCTGGAATCTCATTAAAATGATTTGAAACCTTTATTAGTGTAATGTTACATATTTTTGGTTAATAAAGGAAACTTTTTAACTTTCAGTTAAATAAGGTACCAGGAATTGGTTTCCACTGGTTTCTTGATTTGGAAATGAAAACTAGGAATGAAAACGTGTTGGTTGGTTAATTTCTCCAGACATTGTTCCCTTTTCTATTTATTAAGGAGATAACAGCCAAAGCATATTTAAAAAAAAAAAAAAGAACTTAAGGGCTTTTTGCATTAAGTTGCATTCAAATGGGTTCCTTTATCCTTTAGCTTCATTCTTTATTGTCCCCCAAAGGGAACTGCACCTTCACAGGCTGTTCCAGCTCATACATAAACATTTAATATAGATAAAGGAGGACATGACAAATGTTTTCAGGAAACATTAGGAGATGGATTATTAGGAGCTATGAGTTTCATGACATTAATTTATTTAGTTGATATTGAAAGCTGTGATGGCAGACAAAGCTTTAACAAGTTTCATAATTTTTTCAACTCGTGCCAGAAATGAAAACCTAATCTTTTAAAAATTCAAAAGGGATCAGAATTTCAGTACTTTTCACAGTCCAATTGGAAGAACTTTTAAAACTTTTAAGAATCTCTGGTTCCTAAACTTTTCATTTATGTGCTATAAAAACTTCAATTTATTCACATTTTCATGACACTTTGATTTTTTTTTTCCAAGTCACGAACATCCAGAGTCTGTGTTCTGTCTTTTTAAAAGTAGGATTTTAGATTTTGAAATGTAGCTGATTTCAGTTTGGTCATATGCTGAAAGGCTGTTTTAAAAAGCTGTTACCCACTGTGCTGAGTTATAATGAAACATCAGTTGCTTACAGATGAATGGAAGTAAGATTCATCACTGATGTTGAAACTTTCTACTTAGAATGTTATGAAATCAGTTGGAAACCTCTAGAAATGGGAGTCTGGAACGATCATGGGGAGCCTAAAGATGTCCGAAGTGATGAAATAGAAAGTATGCACAGACATTTGGAGGTTTCCAGGTGAGGCATCAAAATGCCAGCACTCGTTCGCGGGCCCCTCTTGAACCGTTTGCTTTCATCTCCCGGTGCCACATGTGGGGATCAGTGAGCACACTGTGCAGGTTTCAGAAGTGCTTCATTATCACATGCCTCCCACCTCTTTTTCTCTGCTCTTTCTTCTCCTATGCGTTGCGACCTCTTTATCTTACCAGCATTGATCCAAACCCTCAAACACTGCAAGTGCCCAAAGGATTGAATCCAGATTTAAGGATTTCTCTGATTTGACTCTGCTCTTGGATTAGCTGGGATAGGTGTACCTTCTGCGTCTTTCATCTCGTGTCTCCCTGGAGTTCAGCCGAGTCCCTTTGTCGCCGTCCAAGCTCTCCGTCTCTCTCAGGGGAGGGTCAGAATAGGAAAAAAGATCACACCCGGATCTCGACCTAACTGAGAAAACAAAGCTTGTTACTTATTTTCATAGAAGCATCCTCTCTTTTTTTCCTACCTGTTGATTGCTGTGAATCGTGATGAAATTTGATGGGTGTTTGAATAAAGACACATTGTCACCATGGTGGAGATAACTGTCGGGTTACATCAGTCGAGGTCTGATTGAAGCTGCCGTAGCCTTGTCAGAAGGGTAAACATGAAAAGAGAGGAGGAATTTGATTGCCTGTGTTGAGGCGTTAAATATTCTGAGCGCTGTCAGGGTCGGGCCAAAGCGAGGATTGCATTTTTATGTCCCATCTTATCTGTCCAATAACCATAATTTTTAGAAGCACTACTAATGCATTCCTAATTTGGACCAGTTTAGGGAAGCAGAACCTCTAAATGAGAATGTATGAGACCCTTTTTGCTAGAGTAATAAAAATGTAGCCTTAAAATGTATTCAGTAAGCATAGTCAATTAACATATATTGTCCTCAAATAAATGTTTTTTAAGAGATAGAGAGCCTTCATTGTCTCCTGTTAATTTCTGGAGGGAGAGGAAGCTTTGCAGAGAGGATCTATTAAATCCAGAGGCACATATGGGGATGTATAGAGTGCTGATCTTTGTGGGCTTACTGAGATAGAGAGTCAGGAGGGATTTATCCATCATTACATTAAGCCCAGAGAAAATCTAGATTGTGTGCTAACGGGTTGGTTTGTTGCATGCACAAGTCACACGCCAAAGCTGAAAACACTCCATTCAGGCGCTTTTTTTGTCTGAATATTATGAGTTTTTTTGTTCACCTGCAGAAAACTTAACTGGAATAGCAAGTATTCTCCATGGGGAGCTATAAATTCAAAATAGACGTATACCAAAAACCAATCAAATGTACGCAAGTTCTCACACAAATATACTTATATGAAAGCCAAAGACAAAAAACATTATAAAAACACTAAAACAAAACATCATTTCATGTACAGGTTTACTTTTTGTACATAAATCTTGCCCTTCTGAAGCTTTGTGAAGGCAAATCTGGGTTTTGAATGCTCCAATATGATGTCACAGACCTAAAAAAAATGCACCACCAATTTAATAAATGAGAAGCTATTAGTCAGCTTTATATATATTTTTTTATATATAAAAACTATTTTCTGAGATTGTGTTTATTTAAGAACAACCATGCAAATTAACAAACATCTACAAAAAGTGCACTATATCATGTCAATTTCCATGTGAACCCCAGATTGTTCATTCTTTGCCTTTTCTAAAAAGTGCTCTAAAACTGGCCTACCTGTCTATCCATGCTGGGTCAGATCCTGATATTTGAAACAGGGAAAGCAGAATAAAGCGTTGGCCTTGCTGCATGCAGTTAGCCAAGTCTTGTAGCTAAACCAGGTCCTGGAAAAGGACAGACTGTACCATCTCCATCTGTCTTTGGACTGCTGATTATTATTGCTAAATGTTTTTTTTTTTTTTCTTTTTATGTCTTAATCAGGTCTATTGTGGTGGGGCGACGCCCTAGCGTCCTCTATTGGCCAGCTGCCAATGATTAAAGGTATAATAGAGGATCTTTGCAAATTTTTGAAAAGACCCACCCTCTCCACTTTAAAAAAAATGTAGATGCACAACCCTGCACTCGTTCCCAAGAGGGAACTCCTAATAAACGTGTGCAAGAGCATGCACGAGCCCATTTCTCCTCGTGCACGCTCTGTTTAAAAGTTGCTGTTTGCATCACTCATACAAGCTTACTTTCCAAAAGGAGATTTTCAATTTTCCCACTATGTCAGACTCCCTATCGGTAAATAAAATAAAAATAAATAAAATGGGGACGAGCATGTAGGACGGTCTTATGTAAACATATCACCAGAATGAATGACAATTAGGAAGACCACTTTTGATGATCCACCCAGAAAAAGAACATCCTCCACTATACCTTTAAGTAATTTCCTGACAGCCTATACCTTTGCAGCAAAGCGGTCTCTGTTTTCTACAGCAATTTGATGGCCAAATTCTGACCTGTTTCTGTTGAGCTGTTGAGTTAAAAACCTCAGTATCTGAACAGCTTGTTGTTTGCCCATTTGCTCACTCTGTCTATGGGGCCCAGAGCTGCCTTGTTTCTGTCAGCCGAAGCACATATCACCAGCTCTGTGTACTGTCTGACACCAGCAGAAAAGCTTTACATCCAGCTTCCTCACATCGCAGGAAACTATCAGGAGAAACACGTACAATATTTTGGAGCTGAGATGACAGCTTGTTTGAGGCATGTTATACATAAAAAATGGATATGTCATAGCTCTAGTTTAGTTCTAGCTAAAAGGATGGGTTATGTGAATGCAGACTGTATATAATCCCTTGCCGAAGGTCTTACACTCCTTAATGCTATTATTATATGTGATTCTCAAGGGAAATCTTTTATTATTTTTTTTACTAATGAAAACTTAAAGGTGTGATATGCGTTGGAATTTAGACCAGTGCAATAATCTAACCCTTCCTTAATCATGAAGAATAAGAACGTGTTAGAAGTAGTGTTGGGGTCAGTGAACGAAGATCTCATGCAGTACTGTTCAGTCCATCATCTGAAAGTAGTTCAGAGAAAATCAAAAAGAAATCCAGTTTTTTTTTAGAAAGGAGATCTGGTCAAATTATCGTTTTGATATATTTGGAAAAAATGCTCTGTGTAGAGGAAAACCAGCATAGCATTTCACGCTGGTCGAAGCATTGATGTGACATGGTAGAAAAAGAACACCGCACTGTTCAAACATGACATTGAAGGAATTGCATTCTTGTTCTCTTCAGGTCAAGCAAACAGATCAGACTTGATGGTAAAATGCATGAAGCTAATTAGTAGAAGTTAATCTTTAAAGAGGAAACCAGCTGCAAATGTGTCATGATGGTCTAGTCAAAGTCCAAACCTGAGAATCTGTTCAAAGAACTGACAATTAATCAGAGATGGCAAAAGTACTCACTTTCTGTACTTCAGTAAAAGTACAGATACTTGTGTTAAAAAATACTCTGGTAAAAGTGGAAGTACTGATTAAACTTCTTTACTCAAGTAAAAGTAACAAAGTACAGGCTTGTAAATTTACTTAAAGTATAAAAGTAAAAGTAGAAACCACTTATTTCATGCCGTTGCCTACATTTTAAATGGATGTCTGCCAATAGGACTAGATCTCCGTTGTGTTCATTTTCAATCATCTCGTCGTCCATGCTACTATGCTAACGCCACCGCCACCAAGCTACAATGATTTGCCGCCAATGAATACCGCCGAATCTGTCGCTTCATCTTGTAGCGGTGCGTCAAATGCAACGTAGATTCCCATCCAATTAGATTGAATTTGGTATTGATGACGTGAAAAATAATAACGGTAACTCCATTGAAATGATTCAAAACTAAAGTAACGAGCCAATTTTTTAAAATGTAAGGAGTAGAAAGTACAGATATTTGTGTAAAAATGTAAGGAGTAGAAGTAAAAAGTCGCCATAAAAATAAGTAGTAAAGTAAAGTAAAAATATCAGAAAAATCTACTTGAGTACAGTAACGAAGTATTTGTACTGCGTTACTTCCCATCTCTGCAATTAATATTTATGGTTATTACGGTAAATCCAATTTGACCAGCAAGAGCTGTGCTGCAAAAACAATGTGCACAAATTTCAATTTTTAGATTCATTAAAACAGGTAGAAACATAACCTAAAAATCTTAAAATTGGATAAACTGTCTGAGAGGCTTTGAATACAGATTAAGTCATTGAAATCCTTTCAAAACAATGTATTATTTTTCTTTCAATTCACAATCTTTGCAAGATTGTATTAATGTACTTATTAAAAACCCAATGAAACTCATTGATGTTTGTGTTTTTAACCTGAGAAAATTTCAGCAGGTATTAATACTTTCCATAACACCAAATCTTCTCTACTATAATTTCAAATAGCTTTAATCAAGCCCCTCTTTTTTACATTTATGACAGTGTACGATTTGAAGAATAAATTACATAATATTTTTCAAAGCACAGCGAGTGATCTTTGATGCGGTCTTTGATGTATTTATTCTGTTTGTTTAAAAAAATGGGGGGGAGAAGAAAAACATGATTTTCTGTGTTATCTTTGCCATCTAAACCAGACCCAGAGCTACAAGGGAATGGTTGAAATCAACGCATATTTGTGTGCTGAATGGCCCAGTCAAAGTCCAGAACAAAAATCACAATGAGAATCTGGTTAAACTTTTGTCCGTCAAATTAAAACCCAATTTTTGAGGTGACAAAATGTGATGAACTTCAGGGAAAAAGAAAAAGCATAAATGCTTTTACAAGGCGTTGTACACTGTAGCCACTTTTGTGATTCATTTAGAAAATAATTGATTGGATTGTTTGGATTTTAACTGACAAACCTAATTAAATGGAGTCAATATAATTGGGTATATATTTGTTTTCTAGCTTTCAGGTTAGATAAGTTAAAATTAAATCAACTTTAATATTTTTTTTGTTTAAAACATTTGAGAAATTCAACTCATGTTTATTTATATATTCAATTTTAAATCCAGAAATATGTGATTTAATTTGAGTCATATGATTAAAAGTTGCTTAAAGCTATTACCTACTTATGAGATATTGCATTCAAAGTGAGTTTATTATGCCAAAAGCTATGGTGAAAGTGGACAGCTGACTATTAATCTAAAAGTTTAAAATTTTTATATTGCTTAATTTTTTTATATATTAATTTTAGTGTTTCAGACCGTGTACTAGTAATTGTGGTTCCAATGTGTCTGATTTAAGCAACACCTCATTCAGACTGCATAGTTTTTCAGTTCCGGGATAAACTGCTCATGCAGGGTACCGTACTTCAGAGGCACATGTTGTGTTTAATCAAGAATTGTAGAAGAAAGATTTTTGGATTCAGTTTGCGCTCAGAATTTTAAAGGATTTACATAAAAAAATCAGAGAAGTCTAATTTAGTTGATTTAGGCTCACATCCTGGTTCTGGATAAGCTGACAGCTAATCTCTGTCTGAAAATAGTTTCACATAAAAGTATCTTTTAGTCATTCCCAGAAAACTGAGTAAATCTGATAATGCCTGTCTTGGGAAACAGCTTAGGTGTTAAAAAAAAAAACAACAGATTCTGATATGAGCATGTGTGGCACAGTCAGGCAGGGTAAATATAATGAGCTTAACTGCTGATTTTGATCGTTTCATTGAATTTGTTCACAACAGAATAATTTGTAACCAAGCAGGAGCCTTAACCTTCAAAAAAAGGGTCACCAAGAAGAAAAAAAGGATCAACTAAAGCAGCATTCATGTCCTAAATGAAACAACTATTGATTTTCTGTGTTGTATTTATGTAATCAATCTGTCTGGCGTTCCTCTCTAACACACCAGCTCCTTGTTTCTTTCCTGTTGCATCCCCCTGACATTTAGAGGGGAGCAGATGGAGGCTGTGGCCAGGTGGGTCGCTCCAGAGGCAGCAAAGGAGATGGGATTTTTTTTGCAACACAGAGGGGGTTGGGTGAAGGGTACAACGTATGGCCACCTGCCCACTGTCTCCCTTGACGTGACTCCCAATGCTGGCCTGTACCTTTCCTCTGTGGCCTTGCCAAGCTTCTTTTTTCCTGAGAGCTTTTCTTGCCTCTAGACGTACCACAGATCTCTGACCTTGCCTCTCCTGTATGTTTTTACACCGCTGTGCCACAGTAGTTTGAGCTGCACCGAGTTCTCATCATAGCATCACGACTCCTGACAGCAATTACCTACCACAGGCGATGCTGATGCATCTGAGTGAGTATGACTGGATGCATGGGCTGAGGTGCAATAAAGTAATGACCTCTATCTTTGTCTCACCATTCTGAAGTAATTGCAGTTTCCTTCTGGTTTCTGGGTAATAATGCCTTTCACCTTTGCCCTTTAGCTGTGAAGTCTGTGGGAGGCGCAGAACTGGGGTGCAAATTGAACATCTGCACAAAGGCTCTTGTTACCTGATCGGTAAGCCAAGCAGATGTCATTATGGCCTGTGTACGTACCCAGGAGATTAAAGAACAGAGAGGGAAAGGAAAGAAATAGGCAGTTGTTCCTGGCTTTAGCAACTCACCCTGGGTTACCTTTGCATCCTGTCACCCTGGAAACTTGATCTCAGCTGAAGTTGGCGAGCCTTACACCGCCTTAAATCACTCCCCACTCTGGCAGACATTTGGCTGGTGCTGTTTATGTGCCTCCGTTCGATTGGCTGCCCCCCTTCTGCTGCATTGTCTCACACCGTGGTAGAGAGCAGCCTTTTTTTCTCTGGGTACGGAGGAGCTTTCCTGGCCTCTCTTACTTTATTCGGGGGCTCGGAGAGTCTGTGATGGGGGTAAGGTGGGGGCTTGCGGCCCCTTCTGCCCTGTCCTGTGGGGGGTTTAGCTGTACCTGCGTTGGTAGCGTAGGCATGTGAGGGTCCCGCTGAGGATGCTCGCCGCTCTTTGTCGCGCTGGGACAAACGTTTGGTCTCAGAGTTTGTGGGTGGGCAGCTGGCAGACAGAGGGTGGGTTAGTGATGATGAGAACGGTCCAGCAGATGGCAGATCGCCTTGTGGGGTCTGATATGACCCGACTTTGGTCTCTATGATGACAGACGGGCTAAGGGCGGGAGGTGGATAAAGCTTTGGAGACAGAGGGGAGGAAGGCTGTGATCCAGGGCTGCTGGGGTGATGGAGGTTCACTGTTAGAGGAGAAAGCCCAGGAGTGGGAGGTCGCGCAGGGATGTTTCCTTTAGGAGACTGAATTTGATCCTGGGTGGTCGGGTTTTTAGGAGGGGGTGGATTAGAACAGGGAGGACAGTTTGTGTGTGCTCGAGATACGCTTTTTCTTGGGGAGAGCATGGTACCACAACTTAGTCTAACAGTCCGACTCCTTTCAGACAGCGAGCCTGTGGTAATGGAGTGCAGCTGGCCATTCTGTGAAGGCAGACTTCTGCTGTGATTCTCTCCACTGGGGGAACCATTGGAGTCCACCGACCGGTTTTCAGCTCTTGGAGGCCTCTGCTGGGCGCTGCGTACTGTCACCTCACTGGAGCTAGAAGCTGAACTGTAGCTGCTGTCGCTGGGAGGCTTAGCTTCTTCTCCTGCTATCTGCTGCTCCTCATCATCCAGATCAATGGAAGAGGTTAGATAGTCAATCTGCTGCACAACCTAGAAAACACAGAGAATGATTTATAAATAAAAACTCTAATTAGCCGCAACACTCTCCCGAAGGGAACAATTAATATCTCTTGCAAATAGATTTTGCTATATTTTAAAGCTCCCTTCGTAGATATTTTTGACAGATCTGAAGCCAGTATTTCTAAAATGTTTTTATAAACATATCCTTGAAAAAATGTTTTATATATATATATATATATATATATATATATATATATATGCATATTTTAAGACACAACTGGTCCCTTTTGATAGTGATCAACTACTTCTGGATTCCCACTTATGTTGGTCTCAATAACTCCCACAGAGAGGGCCACTTTGGGTCATGAAAGCATCTCCAGACACCCAATTAAACTTTTATTTTTATTTATTTACACCTTTGTTAATGGCTTTTTGCCTTAATTATTACAAAGAATTAAAACAATGAACAGAAAGCAATAAAAGGTGTCTTATTTTTGGTGATACCCTGCTTATAAAACGCATTTGTACATAACATTCATTTTGAACAAATGCAAACTTATGTACCTGACCACTAAACGATGGTGTAAAACTAAGGCCTGGAAGGAAAATGTACTTTGGTTAACAAAATATTATCTGAATGAATCAAAATATGATATGTTTGTGTTTGCAGCCCTTCCAAAAAAGCAAAAGGTTATGATGTAACCTCTATCGTTTGTAAAAAGCAATGTTAATTTCTCGTCCCACACAGTTTTTGAAGACCAAAAACTTAAGTTTTGGTCCCACCGGACCATTAATTTCTTCCATAATTTACACATGCACCCTACATGGCATGAAAAAAATCTTTATGCAGCTATCCTGAACTGCTCCGATTGACCTCTCTCCTTACATGACCCGAAAGGCTTGGTGGGCAGTCCTGATCTGGAAGGTGTATCTATGGTGTATCTGCTTTGTTCCTTTGTCTTGACAAACTATGCATCACCTTGTAGTATTTTGAATTGATGCTGAAACATAGCAAGATGTGAAAGATGTGAAATAAAAAACATTTAAGGAGAATCCATACTTTTGCAAGATTCTATTTGCCTTTGTTTCAGACGCTTTATGGAATTTGTTCCATAAATTTAAACTAACATGACAGGGATCCTGAGTTTTTGTTTTTTTGAAGCCTGTAGGTTTGAGAACTTTCTTCATATTCTAGATGTATCTCAGAAGAAACCCCAATATACTTTAAAGTATTAATTGCAAAAAAAAAACTAAAGCTTTCTTAATTTCTAGATGAAAGGGAGGCTTTGCAAGTATGAGGCAAACAATATCTTACAACTTCCCTACTGTGCATCAGATCTGTCTTTTCGCCTCACCGCAGAGGAGCCGCAATAGGCTTCTCACTGTGTGCAGTGATTGACACCACAAACTTATTTTGCTGTGGAATACTCTGGGAATACTTTTGATTGTTCTGATTAGTCTGATTTTTACACAGAGTAACAGCTTTCTTCACACCATATCTTAACGTTGTACACACACGATTTTCAACAGTAAACAGTTGTTCTTAAACAAGCAATAACCCGATAGAAATATTCAAATCTGGACATTAAAATGTCAAATTTATAAACATTTCTTTTCAGAGGGAAAATCCAGTCCATTATAAATGTTAAATATGTCTTACAGTTCATGTTGAGTTCAAATTGTGTTGAGGATGTGGGGGATGTTTATGGTTTGGTGACATATTAACCACAAACACATGATGGTCTTTATAATTTACTCACTATTTATTCCACAAAAGCCACTCATAGAAGTAGTGGGTGAACCGCTGATTCATTTAAACTGAAAACTAAGATTTTCTGCACTCCCTCATTTCAAATGCAGCCATCCTTGAGTCACTAATTTCCTTAAATTGCCTTCAATAAAAGGTCGAGGAGTTTCCAGAGCACCATGATTCAGCAATACACATGTTTAGGAAGTTATAAAGAAGCGCTGTACAGCAGACAAGATGATAGACAAATAATAAATAAACCTGCTGCTTTTGGGGGCCCCTTGATTACAGGAAGCATTGAGGCAGATGTTCAAATTGCATGACGGAAGTCCACCTTTGTTCAGTGTGATTAATGTTTCATACACCTCCTTGATTGTGCATCTGAGGATGCATCTTTTCCCCACAGAAAGTTCTTCAAAACAGATGATGACAGTGAAATCAGGACATCTGAGCCCTTAAGGCATCAATAATACAACCTTCAGCATTCATATCAAATAGGGCTTTATTAATGATGCAGAAAGCTATGTTTTTATCTAACTATAGCAAAAACCCAAAACAAAAACTAAGTCAGAATATCACAGGATTAGCTACGGTTTGGACCATTTTATTTATTATTAATTGCCTGATTTTAGATAAAAAGGCACAATAAGAGCCTGTAAATTGGTGCAGTACTAATTAAGAATATAGACGACAATGAAAATAAACAAAACAATTTAGTCTGGTTTTAAAGTGAATAATTATGCGGTTTGGGTTGATCTCGATTGGTACAAAAAGTTCATTCTACAGTCCAGGCAGAGCTCCTACAACGGCCCATTCTCCTCTAGTTTTAGCCTGGAATGGAAACAACAGGGAGCATTTGTTCAGCCGACATTAGTGACATGGTGGGTTTGAGTATGTAGAGTTAAAAGATCACAGAGAAAATGAGCTGCCAGTCTGGGTTAGAATTATAAAACAAACACATGTGGTTCCACTCCATAGGCTTGTAAAAACTGACCTCCAACATTTTTACCTAGTTACACTAGAACCCTCTGTGAATCTTACATAAAGACCTTCGAAATATTCTACAGAGGGCAAAGCGAAGGATTAAACTACATTTTGGAGCCTTTAAAGAAAGAAACTATTTCATCTTTAGGAAGCTATGCTATTTTCCATCCATCCTTCTTCTACCGCTTCTCCATCAATGTGAAGGGGTGGTGGTGTCTGTCTCTAGTAGTTCCTGAACGTGCATCACAAAGACACACACAAACACTCAGTCACACCTAATAGCCAATTAGAGTCACTAATAACACTAATGTTTGGATTGTGGGAAGAAGTCAGAGTACACAGCACAGGGAAAAAATGCAAACTCCATGCAGAGAGATCCAAGGCTGAGGATCAAACCTATGACCTTCTTGCTTTAGGCAAGAATTCAAAAACTGCACCACTCTGCAGCCTTAGTACAACTTTCTCTGTTTGTAAAAGTTTCAAGCACGCTCCATCAATCCAGCAATCATCCTTGCAGGTTCGTGGAGCAGGCACCTATCTCCAGCAGTCTTTGGACGACATTTAAATTAACATAAGAACAGGTGATTTTCCATCTTAGGACAAAACAGAGACAGGGCAAACAACAATGCACACACTCCTAAGGACAAATCGGTGACCAGTTTGACTAGTTTGGAAATATATACATCGAAAGAGCATGCAAACTCTACACCTGGAATTAAACCCGGGACTGACTTGCTGCAATGAAACATTTCTGAAACCTGATCCACAACGCAGATCTAGATTTCACTTTTTTTAAATTATCATTGGTATATCTGTGAAATGTGATGTCATAGCCTAGGAAAATAAAACACCAATGTAGAAAATTAAACAGAAACTAAACTATGAGACCCTGAAGTATACCAAAACATGAATAGATTTAGTACTTTAGATGATTTAGTCCATCTTTCTTTTGAATCAGATTTAAATCTCTATTGTCAATAAAGTACCTCTTTAGAGAAATCAGCTTTGTAAACGACAACAAGCCATTTTGTAGATTTAAACGACCAGTTGTAACAGAACATCTTTTTATGTTTCCTCTACTAGAGCCTTGAAACTAAAAATGCTCAATCTACCAATGTTCCAGACAGCTAAAACTCGTTCATCTTACAGCTTTTTCATCCTTTCTCATATTTATTCCTACAAATTAAATGGAAAAAAGCGAAAACATCTAAAATGCCTAAAAAAGAAAACTGTAATAAATATCTCAGGAGGCCTTCTTCGCATCTTTGTTTGTCGCATTGCAAAAATATTAAAATCATCCAAGACAGAATGAGAGTACTGTTACAGTGGCGTGAAAGCTAAATTTAGTCATCCCCCCCATCTAATGCATCTTACTCGGCTAGTAAAAAGCATGCTCCATAATATATCAAAAAGAAGACACACATGTCCTGATGCAAAATGGGTGTAGAGAATAATAATTGTATGCTCTGCACACATGCACTAATAAAAGCTTAGCACAACGACACAACCCACAAACACACAGGCAGCTGCATGAGGACGGAGGCTGGAGAGATTGGAGAAAATTACGCTTGGGAAAATGTTTGACCTAGCTCACCACCTGCTCTGTATGCACAGATAAATCCTTAGCCCATGCAGGATGAGTTTTGTCCTCTGTGTTAAACATCATCCTTGCCGATGCCAAAGAATGACCTGATTTGTTTGTCTGCTTTTGTTTTTTTCTAGCAGTGGCTGTTTTTGAGTGAAGCCTTTCATAAAGCTTTGAAGATGCTGCATGTATATGCACATCCAGTGACTCTGGGCAGGTACTGCTTGTTAATGTCAGATATCAGGAGATAAAAGGGCTGCTTTTTCAGCTGCGGCTGTTGAGGTTGTTAATTTAAAAAAAAAAACAATGTTTTTGACCCCTCAGGTCTACAACACAGGCTTACCCTTTATTGCTGAGAGATGCTTGCTGTTGAGCTTGGTCATTAAAGTTTTACTCGGTTCCCCTCAGTTTACTTTCTTCTCTTGAAGTTCTGAGTCATGTTGCAGTTTTTAAAAAAACCTGACTGGAACGCATCAGCAGGTTATCACTGTCAGACTCATGTATGCCCCCTGCTTTTCTGGTATTCTTTTCCACTTAATGCATACAAAATAGATGCTATGTAGTTAATTTGTTGCTCTATCAAAGTATTAACACCCTCTGAACCCTACAGGCTCTCATGCATTTGCTGTGATTTCTCTGTGCCAGCCACACGGCAAAAGGAAAATAGCATATAATTGCATAATTTCAATAAAATTGCACGTTTTATAGAGTTTTTTTAAGGTTACAAAAAGGCGAATCCCTTTGTAGACCACTGTTTGCCACTATAACTCTCTCACCAATGTACATCAAGAGCCTAAAACAGTACAAATATTTCAAGCTAAGTCAGATTGGAAGAAGGACTTTAAATGTCAAGGTCTGGCCACAGATTCTCATATGAATTTGGTGTTTGGGCTTTGACTAGGCCAAACCTCGATTGAAACCATTCCTTTCTGGGCTTCTGTCCTGCTGGAAGGTGAATCCATCTACTAACCGATTCTCTTCCAGGACTCCATTGCAATTACCGACACAGTCTCCACAGCAGAGCCTCAATGTTAGTTTTCCTTCACCTGTAACATTTTGCATAAAGTTAAACTTTAAGGGAAGTTTCTTTCCAGTGTATGCTGCGTCGTCTACTTGGCTACGGGCTTTAATCAAGGATTCTAGTGGTTTTGTTCTTTCATAAAAGAACAACAAATCATTTTCCTTAACAGATCCTTACTCTCTGCTGTTCACCAAGCCACTGGGCTTCATTTAGTTGTCTCAGAGTAAAGGGGGGTGTATTTAAATGTATGTCATAGATGAAATACCTAAAATCATACTCAAAGATTTGATAATCCAAGTAGGTGTTGCTGTTTTTTTGTCCTTTTCAAAATAAGATCCCTCTTATTCAAGTATGCAGTAGTCATGTAAGAAAATGTGTGACAGCTTAAGCAGGGCAATAACTTGTCCATGTCAATATATGATCTGTCCTTGCTTCGCTCCATTTCTTTTGCATCAGTTGCTCACTGCTGCTTATGCACCAGACATACAGTAACTAGCCCACACAACTTTACAGCATCTTCTTCTCCTTTTCATTTGTCGCCTCTGTTTTTAAGTGCAGGATTATCAATTACTCTTTGGTGTTTCTTCCTCTATTCCATATAAACTTTAATCACCGTGATGTTAACTCTGTCACGTAAAACTCTTTAAAGTCAGGATGATGAAGTTGCTACCTCTGGGTTTGGCTGTGACCTCTCTGATCAGATGCCAGGAGGAAAGATTTGCGTGTCACTTTTACTGGACGAGGCACAGATATTCAGACATAAATGGATTATAAAAGAGCGCCGGCCACCATCCAGCTGTGCCCCGAGCAGCAGCTGTGCATGGGAGGGAGAAGTGGGGAAAAAGAGAGGATGTTAGAGGCAAGCCTTTTGCCTAATGTCACCCTGCATCATCTAAAACATCTTCTGAATGCATCAGGCAAATGGGCCATAACTACTGTGTCTTCTACCTTTATGGAAGTGCATGCCCGAGTTGAGCACAAAGTGCCAGACTTTCCTGTGTCTGGGGAGCAGAAAGGAGAGTTTTAGAAACAGCAACATGTTTTAGTTGCATGCATCACTGCTGCAGATGCTCTTCTGTTTGTTTAATACTGCTGAGAATTTGCATTTGTATTCTGTCTTGTTATCTGTATTTACCCTCAAGGTTTTTTTTTCTGCAAAAGCTAGAATATTTTCTGCAAGAGGATAATGTCTAAATTAATGAGGAAGGATGCAGTAAAGCCCTGATTTGTTTATGTTCATACCCTTCAGCCTTGGAAAGAAATGAGACAATTTTGCAGCTCATGTGGTGAAGTTTCAGAGAACCAATTCATGAATCAACAAAGAGCTGTGATATTGTTTTTTTTTTTTTTACCTCTTTGATTTCCTGCTGAATGTCCCTCAGTGATGTAAGAACCTGCTCCAGGTTGTCCACCACTCGTTTGATCTGGTTTCGGACCACCTTTCTGCTGCAGCCTGCTCCCTTCCTCGGTGGCTCCTGGTCTCTGTTTGGTTTGTGCTGTACCCATGTCTGGTTCTGACCCAGGATTGCAATCTGTTCTGAGTTCAGCCTGGGTTTCCTCTGGCCTCTTAGAGTTGAGAAGCAGCCCAGGCGTTCAGGAGGGGTCTCTGTGGAAAAGATGAGGCCATTCAGGGGCTCCCTCAGGGCTGTGAGGTCTCTCTGGCTCTGTGAGCTCCTGCTGTGTTTGTTGATATAGCTGAAGCTGGAGGTGAACCCATGCTGTCTCTCCATGAGCTCCTGAGTGTCTGAGCCCAGCCAGCTGGATGAATGGAGGTCTCTCTGGTGGTAGGTGGTGTGACTAGTGTAGTCCCACATCTTCCTCTCCCTGTCTTCCATGCACACCACAACAGGCACATTACAGCTGGGCTTCTCTGCCAGCAGCACAGGTATAGGCGTAGGATGGGGCCCCACCAAAGGCCCGTATTTCCTCACTAAGGGGCTGCTTGTGTCATTCTGCGTCTGACGGAGAATTGTGTGGCCAACATTTTGGCTCTCTGGTGCAGAGCAGGAATTGTCAGTCAGTCCTTCCTTTGGGCTGAGCTGAGTGTTGGTGATAGGGTCCACGTCCAGTTCTTTAGTCTTGTTCCACTTGGCAGGACTCTCATCCTTCTGCTTCCCCACACTGCCTGGCAGGATGTGGTTCCCCCTCAGCACCACTGGCAGCTTACCCATGCCATTACATCGGAGCTCCCCCTTCTTTGCCCGGTCCTTTCCCTGGATGGAGAACAAACCAATCCCCTTGGCTCTCTCCAGTGGGGTCAGGCTGTTGCGGGCCTCTGAGCTGGATTTGTATGCCCCATTGAGCCCCAGGTCTGCGCTGCCATGGTGAGCCTTCAGACTGTTGCGCAGCCATGGGATGAAGTGGGGGCCATGCGTCTTGAAGCCTTTCTGCTCCCTGGGCGTTGAAGTGGCCCGACTGTCAGAGAACATGCTGACGGATGATGACTTTCTTCCATGGATCTCCTCTGGCTTCCAACATTAACACATGCTCTGTCTATTCTATTCTTTCCCTCAGTTTTCAAAACTTTTTTTTTCTTCAGTGTTATTTTCCCTCCTCAGCTAAGGTCCCACCCTCTCCCTCCACTCCTGCCAAACCCTGCTTCTGATTTTATCGCCCTACCTCTTTCCTCTGCCGATGCTCCTTCTCCACCTACTGCTCTCTCTCTGTCTCTCTCTACGTTGTGTTGCTCCTGGAGCCCCTCTCCCCCCTCTCTGGGCCTGTCTCAGAGATGCCAGGAGGCCCCCTCTCCCTCTCTCTTCGTCTTCCCCCTCTGCCTGCCCGAGTCTCACTGGCTCTGTAGCAGCAGAGGCTTCCTGTCTCTACATCGTTCTCTATCTCTCCTCACCCCCCCTCCCTCACTGCACTGCGCTGCCTCCTATCCCTGCTCTTTCTTCCTCCCACTCCCTCTCACTGCTCCAACTCCCTTCCTCTCTTTGCCTCTTCCCTCCCCATCCCTGCCTCCTCTCTGTTCTTATCACAGAGCCCCTTATCACCCTTTTGCAACTCTCTCTGTTCTTTCCCTCCTCTCTGTGCCACAGTTTTTTAGCACTCAGCCCCACCTCCCAATTTACCAAAGAAAGCAACTCAAGTTCAATCAAGGCAGGAGTATTATCATTGCCCCCACCCCATGTTAGAGAATGTGTAGCCATGTGCCTCCTCCTGCCTGTGTTCTCATCTTATTACTCCTTTCCCCAGATCAGCCCCTCACAATTAAATGCTGCTCACAGAGAGGGTGGGGGGAAGGATGGCAGCAGGAAGCGATGAAACACATAATTGTGACCCGTAAGATGAGGGATCAGCACCAGCCTGACAGAAAAAGAAGAAACTGCCCTACTGTAAACAGCAGCCTGCCGGTGGGACAGCTCTCCCCCCACCTTTTAACTGTCAGCAAAGAGTGTCACATTACCTCCCCGTAGTTTCCCCTGTTTTCCATTTCCAGTTTCGATTTGTTCTAATTAAACTGAGGCAGCTGCTATTTACTGGACTTCTGGATCATATTCATATTTATTTTTTTTTCTGAAAGTCTGAATCAGATTCCTGCTGTCTGACAAGCTCAAATATGCCTCCCGTTGTGCTTTTTCCACTCAGCTGCCACCGCATTGGTGGGTGCCTCCCTCTCTGGCAGCATCTTAAATGAAAAACACCAGCAGAGACACACAAAAGCCCTGACAGTTTACTGTCACTCAGCACTGAGACACTCAAAGCATCTGCCACGCTGGTAGTCAGCATAGCAATCTGCTGCTGAGGTAGTGCCCTGTTAAAATGTGACTTCATTCACTGACATGCTACACATAGGAGTAGAGGACTGTGTAATCTGCCAGCATGTTTACAGATTGGTTTCAGTCCGAGGTGACCATTATTTCGGAAAAAAAAGCAAAAGAAATAACCGAGCAGCTGCCGTTAACCCTTTCTTTATTACTTTGCAGCATGCCTTTGAGTCCATTGGCATTTCTTGCACAAATGACAGCCTGGCCCAGTCTTTTTACCCCCAGTTTGCCAGTATGATACAAAAAACTCAATTAAAGTGTATTTGTTTTCAATAACAAAGGTTTAACTGATCTAAAATATTTTCCAGCTGCAAGATAATGGAGAATAATGTAATGGTGGTATACTGGTAAATATTGTAATGACTAAATCAAGGACTATAAATCAGCAGTTGTTTACTGACATCTTACCCATGTGTGCTTTAAACCCCCTATGAGACCTCACACCTGAGACCTTCTGACACCATTGAGTCACATGACACTGGGGAGGGAAAATGGATAATTGGGCATAATTTGGACATTTTTTTCCACTTTGGAGTGTATTCACTTTTATTGCCAGTGAGTTATTTCGAGGAACTGTTAAACAAGCTGTATATTGATCGCCCCCAGTATCACTTCTTCAATATTTAAAAAAAATTATTGAAATTGTTAAAAAAATAAAATAAATTGAGGGGTGCAATTACTTCTCTGATATACTGTATTTTTGGCTTATGATGATCAAATGCAGTGCAGTGTTTAAAAAGCCACCTATTGCAATCAAAAATAGATGTTCTGTAGGTGTCTACTGCTGACTTTCTCTTGATAACAAAAGAAAGTATCTATTACATTAAATTGAATTGAAAGCAGTTTTTATAATCTGCATGTATACAGAATGACTTTAGTTTATATATGTGAGCACAAAGCAAACTCTGTTTTAATTGTTCATGTAAGAAACTGGGAGTTCTTTCAGTTTCTCTATCTCTCTCTGGCTCACACATTTATTGTATTTCTCTTCAGATGAATTAATAGTGTCCAAATTCATTTAAAATGAGATGAAAGGAGCCCCTGATGTCTGAAAACCCGCCTCTTTACATTTGATGTTTTTAAAGGCTTTAAAAAATCTAAGCTGAATTGTTACTCACTGAGTCACAGAGAAAAGCTTTTGTTTCTCAGGCTAAATTAAACTGGTACAGTCCCCCAAATGTTGGCTGCTTAAAGCAGTAGTTGGGATCCAAGTACATTTTAGACATTAGACAACTTAAAAGCGTAACACATGGAGAAATTGTTTGCTCATTTGAAATTCAAATGGCACCAGCTGAATATTTTACCTTTTAACGACACAGCAACAAAAAGTTTGTTTGGAACAGCTGGTAGAGACTCTATTTACCAACAAAACTCTGGATTATTTTTTATGCAACTCAAAAATGTTAATATTGGCTGCCACATGCATTGCTGTTTGTCTCATTCGGGGAAATAGTGGCTGTAGTTTGACACTTTAGTTTAGATTTAGACTTGGAAAAAATTGTAAAAACTTCTGCTTGTTTTCTGTATGTGCAATGTGCAGGATACATTTTTCCCTACAGACACTCGACTGAAAGATAAATTAAATAAAAATGATCAGAAGATTCAAACGCTAAGATTAGCTGATCCTTTCACTGTTTTGGAGTTTTGTTGTGGTGGAGCCTAAACAACTCACAGCATTAGAGATGTGAAAGCATTTACTCTGTAACAGAGATGTCTCTGTGAAGCCATCTCATCTCTATAAATATGATTTAAAAAATATGCCAGTCAACTTTTACGTATCGATCCCATATATGTAGAAAGGGCTAAGAAAGGACTCCCAAATCCGTTTGCATAGTACTTACTATAGCACTGAATTAGGTACAGGTCGACTCTAATTAGAAGGAAGGACCAATCCAGGTTTTTAAATAAACTACAACGTATTTCGACTGCATGACTGATTATTACAGCAAATACATAAAAACGAGTCCTGTACCAACATGGGCTTAAAGACCACCCAGCAAAAAAGAAGCCATCGCTCAGATTATAAATTATAACGCCAGATTGCAGATTGTAAATGTACACAGGGACAAAGAGATTATTATTTTTATGTATGTATTGTGGTCTAATGAAACTGTTTTTAGCCATAAGGTGTGTACAAGGGTAATGGAATACAAACCTAACACAGTTAACCCAGTTCTGTCTGTCATTATCTTGGCACTGATGGCTTAATGGTTCATACTGTTCACCTGCCTTGCTTCGACCAGTTTCTCATCACTGTTCATCTTATCCACCTGCTCCTGTCTCTACTTAATCTGCTTGTTCCCAGCCATCAGTGCCAGAATATTCGAACCTTCGGTGAGAGTTATTTTGCATACCTATTGTTCTGATTGCCTGATCCTGACCAATTCTGCCTCCGTACCTTTGAGCCTGCCTGTTCCTGTTTTAGATTTGTTTGCGTGATGTGTCTTTGGACTCCTGCTGGTTTCTGCCTTTCGATTGAACCAAGATCTGCCTTCTGACTTAGATTTGGATTTCCTTTCGATATCTTTTCGGATCTCTGATCTTCTGGCCTGGACTCCTGTTAATCTCTTCGGCACCAGATTTGGCTTTGCCTTCTGGAAAGTCCTGCCTTCCTTCGTCTGCTTGGATCTAATCGTCTGCCAGTTCAGCAGCCTTCTAGGATTTGTCTCCTGAACTTCCTGGGCGGTGTTCTCAGCGTGCCGTTAGCCATCCGACTGGATTCCACTCTTTCTTCTCGGCATAGACTGAACTCAAAAACCAGGTTAGTGACTCCCACGCTCGTAATCATCCTCTGTCAGTTTTAAGTGGCCACTAACCTGAGTTTTCCTTCTACAGACGTTTTGATGTTCTAGCTGCTGAGTTGCAAATCCACCATACATTAATAAACACTTTTGTTAATTACTACTCTCTGTCTGCTTTGAATTCTGGGTCCCTAGTTCTGATTCCTGACACTGTCAGAAAGAATGGGCCAAAACTACGGCAGCTTGTGGAAGGATAACCCAAATATTTAACCCAGGTCATACAGCTTAAACGACAATGCTACCACAACAAAGGTAGTGTCTGTTAACATCTTCATTAAAAAAATGATAAAGAAAACAAAAACTATTCTCAAATTATTTTATGACCTTGACCATTATAATAACCTGGAATCCTCAAAGGTATGGTCTCATTTAATATCTGAATGCAAAAAGATAGGCATCTTTAAATAAACTTCTGGTTTCAATTGTATATGTGCAGAATGCAGGAGTGAGCACTGCCTAAATAATGAGACTAGATATGGCATGATTTATTTACAACCTAACACCAGCTATCTTAAGTGGCTTTTTTTGTTAAAGTATACAAAATAAATCCATAGTTATAGAATAAAACTAAATATAGAAGAAAAATACTGTTAGATATTTTTGAGAATAAAAAATAGAAACTTTCACAACACCAGTGGGTATATTAAAGTTTAAAGTGTAATACCAAAGAGGATTGTTTAGAAAATCCTAAAGGTTCATGTTTCCAGCTCTATTTGTTTGTGTTCCTGGAACCTTCTTATGAGAAGAAAAGCTTGGTGTGACAGCGATGTTGCAGGACTAAAATGGGTGAAATGTGCCTACATGACAATTTGTCACCTTAAACTGATTAAATAGATTTTTCTTTTACAAAACTGACTAACAAAATGTATTAAACCTGTGTTTGTGTGTGAGAGCATGCTTAAAGGCACTGAATTTGTTAGAATTCACAGTTTTCCTCCAATCAGCCACCCACCATGTGTGCCTGTTGTAAATGAGATGGCAGCGAAACACATAATACTTGCTCATTTTAAAGTCAATGAGGAATAAAAAGTAAAGTAGCTGTCACAGCTTCTGTCTGTGTCACGCTGACTGGCCTCTCCATTCATTATATTAATAAGCTGAATATGTGTGTGAGAAAGAGAATAAAGAACGAAAGCAGAAAGAAGCGAGCGGGCAAACCTTCTCCTTTATAAAGCTGTACACCTGCTGTCTCCTGACTCTTTGGT